AGAGTTACTTGCAGAGACGCTGTTCATACCACCCTGTTGCTTCATCCGCGAAAACCAACCTTAAGAGTCTGACACCAGAAGTCTTATATTACTTCCACTTAGATCCTACTCTTAACACTTTGAACACCCTCAAGATAAGCGACATTGTTATGAACACCCCTGACGCTTCCCTCACTAGAGGATCATCCGCTTGTGGTAACAAGCCAGACTTGTACCATAAAGACCGCAACAAGCTCGAAGCTTAGATCCTCTAAATTGACTAGTTCTTCTACCTACAAGATGACAGGATAGACGACAAAGACAAAGTCGTTTTGGCCACCACCTACTTCTGAGGTGACGCAGAAAAATGGGCCAACCTGACCATTCAACGTTACATGGATGACTCCATCACTGACGCCGACAATACTGCCTTAGTGGAAGACTAGGACGCTTTTAAAGTCAAACTCCGACAGAACTTCTCACCCTTCAAGGAATCAGTAGTCGCGGAACAACGAATTCAAACCCTACGCCAGACGGGCCCCGCCGCCGACTACACGACAATATTCCAGCAACACGCCACCCGAATCAACTGGGATAACAAAGCACTCATGCGCATGTACCGGCAAGGCCTCAAGCCAGCAGTGCGCAGAGAACTCATAAGAAGTAGAGCCAACATCGACACGCTAGCAGAACTCATAGAAGAAGCTATCAGAGTTGACAACGACTTATACAAACTAGCGCTAGAAGAACAACTGTTTAATTAGGGAACGCAACAACAGGATAAGAACGATCGGCCTCGACAACAGCAATACCGACGTTCACCTCCTAATACGGGACGGCAGCGCAGCTTCATGCCATCCACGCCAGGATCCTACCAGGGATACGGTGCTTAACTTATGCACCTCGACAACCTTAACAAAGGACGTAGATTTAGACGCGCTAAGCTAAATGAAGGACTAAAGGGTTAGCACAACAAGGACAGAAAGAAGTTCACTTGTTACGCCTATAGTAAGGAAGGCCACATGGCACGAGACTGTTGAAACAAGAATAAGGTCACTCGACAACTGAACGTTACCTAAAAGGACTCCAGCCTCGACGACGGCGAGTCATGGAACGTTATTACCCTAGCTTAAGTCAAATACCATCCGCTTAATGAAGAACTTATTATAGGACTTAAGGACGTAATGCTTACCACCGCTAAGAGCAGCGAGGATAAAAAGAACCCGCTCAGCGACGAAGAATACGCGACGCTAGCAGAAGAAGAGTTTCCTGCGGCACCTACGAAGCATGAAAAGATGGCCAGGTTCAAGGAAAGAAACCAACCCGCTACGCCAAAGCCGACAAAGCTTAAACCCGCTCAAGAAGAACCCTAATAGGATCCAGTACAACAGACAACTCCACCTAGCACGCCACGAGGGGCGCAGAAAGCGCAAGAGACATAGCGACAATCACAAAAGGAATACCAAACCACTAGGCAACAACAAACCAACAACACCTAGTACTAGTACGATGCACGCAACGCACACCATGCTCGACTCTCATGGACAGCATGCCTAGCTGCCTACTGTCCAGCCCATTACTCAGACAAACAAGGAGCAGGATGGAACCCTAAGACCATCCAAGGATACCCCAAGTGCAAGTACCACTAGTTCGAATGCGTAGACGATAGATGCCCAAAACACCTATAGGACAAAAGGGAGAAGAAGCACTTCCTAGGCCACGACGACCCACAAGAGGTCATACAGATGCAAACAGTATACCGGACGGAGTACGTGGACGATCACACGTACGCTTGTCAACGACAAGACTAGCAGACATGTCTTAACAACAGTTGCGACACCCATGTTCTAGCCAAAGAATACTATAGATTCCCAGTAAAATCTTTTTTAGGCCAGCGCCACGAGAGCCAGGGCCCTCTAGGGAGATTAATGTAGTAAACCCCCTAGGACTAATAAAGCTCACAGTAGAGCTTAACAAAAAACGGATGCAGGCGCTAGTGGACTTAGGATCACAGGCGAACTATGTTTCAGCGCACGCAGTTAGGAAAGCCAGACTTACCCAACTACGGAAACAACAGCCGTACCCACTACACGTTGCTAATAGCGAACCAATGCCAAACGAAGAAAGAATAACACATGAGGTCAGACAAGTAACACTCAGCATCCAAGAGCATAAGGAGAAGATAGACCTAGACGTCTTTGGACTAGCTACCCATGACATCATTTTAGGACTCCCATAGCTGCGAGAACACAACCCGCGGATCAACTGGAAGTCAAAGGTGTTCCAATTTAAGTGCTGCGGAACGGACGCAACCGCAAGCCAGCCTACGCATTAGCAGAGTCTAATAGTAGATAAGAGTAACATTGCTAAGCAGTGCAATATCGCAGAAAAGAAAGCGAACTCGACAGGTAGTTCCCAGAGCAGGAAGCCAAACTCAGCAGATACCAAAACCAGGCCAATGGATCACGAAGCTAGAGTATAGGAGAACAGCGCAACTCCAGAGATCCCTAAACAATACAGAAAGTACGAACATCTATTTCAGGAAGTGGTAGACGACCAAGCGTTACCAAAGCATCAACCCTGGGACCACGAGATAGTCCTACAGGAAGGAAAGAAACCGACTTTCGGGCCCATATACCGATTATCGGAAAGAGAGCTCAACGTACTAAGAGAGTACATCAACAAGAGTTTAGCCAAGGGATACATACGACCGTCGAAGTCACTAGCAGGATATCCAATTATGTTTGTACCAAAGAAAGATGGAACAGATCGACTATGTGTCGATTATTAGCAACTCAACGACATCACAATTAAAAATCGATACCCACTACCGAACATCACCAAGCTCCAGGATCGATTGTCTCGAGCAAAGATCTTCACAGCGTTAGATCTTAGAGACGGATACTACCTTATTAGAATTAAGAAAGGTGAAGAATGGAAAACGGCTTTTAGGACATGATATAGACACTACGAATATACCGTTATGCTGTTTAGGCTCACAAATGCCCTAGCCACATTCTAGGAACTCATCAACAACGTACTTAGACCCTACCTGGATATATTCGTCATCGCCTACCTAGATGACATCCTAATCTACTTAGAGAACGAGGAACAACATACTAAACACGTCAGACAGGTACTACAGGCCCTGGACGAGTACAGCCTTAGACTCAAGCTGAAGAAGTGTGAATTCCACAAGACCAAGGTCAACTTTCTAGGCTACGTAGTAGGAGTCAACGGAGTACAAATGAGTGAAGAAAAGATCAAAGTTATCAAGAACTAGCCAACACCAAAGACAGTCACAGAAATCCAATTATTTCTAGGATTTGTGAACTTCAATAGGCAGTTTATTAAGGATTTTTCCAAGATCGCGATACTGTTAACGCGATTAACAAGAAAGAATACCCTATAGAAATGGGATGACAAGACAGAAAAAGCATTTCGAACGCTTAAGAAAGCATGCATTACGCCACCATGCTTCTAGATATCTATCCCAGGACTACCAACAAAATTCGAGACCGACGCATCAGACCTCGCACTAGGAGGCTGCGCTAGCATACTCATAGACAGCAAATGGCACCCCGTCGCATACTACTTAAGAAAGTTCTTAGGACTAGAAGAACGATACGACGTACACGATAAGGAACTCTTAGCTATTGTAGAATGCCTACGACACTAGAGAGTATATGTAGAAAGCTGTTTAGAACTCACAATCTACACAGACTACAAGAACTTAGTACACTTCACTACGACAAAGGTACTTAACCAAAGACAGACCCAATAGGCTAAACTACTAGGACAATACAAGTTTAAGATTGTCTACACTCCAGAAAAAGAAAACAGAAGAGCTAACGCTCTTAGCCAACAACACAACATTGCGGGAACTAAGACGATAGTCGACAGACCAATATTAAAAATGAAGCAAGACGGGACAATGGGACCCGCACACGAAATCAACATTATCATGAAAATAGGAAACAACGTACCTAAAGAAGTATAGCAGATCATCATCAAAGAACATCACAATAATCCTGTACACGGACATCCAGGAATTACCAGAACAATAGAACTAATTTAGAGAAACTACTAGTTCAGTGGGATGAAGGACAAAGTTGCATCCTACATCGCCAAATGCGAAGACTGCAAGAAGAACAAGCACAGTACTCACGCACCTTACGGAGAAATGCAAGCTCAAGAGCTACCACGAGAACCGTGGGCAGACATCTCCATGGACTTCGTTACAGGCCTACCAGTCTCAAGAGACCCCGCAACCAAGGTCGCCTACGACGCGATACTAGTTGTAGTGGATAGGTTCACCAAGCAAGCCGAATACATACCGTTCAGGAAAGACTACACAGCAGTAGATCTTGCACACATCATCAACAATAGAATCATCCAACACCACGGAATACCAAGGACAATTATAAGTGACAGAGATAAGCTCTTCACATCAAACTTCTGGACAACGCTGTTAGCTACGATAGGCACAAAACGAAAACTATCGACAGCCTACCATCCACAGACCGACGGACAAACAGAAAGGACCAATAGAACAATGAAGACATACCTCAGAATCTATGTCAACTACCAGCAAGACAATTAGGTACAATTATTACCTATAGCACAAATGGCCTACAACAACAAAACATCAGAATCAACAGGAAAAACACCATTCTACGCAAACCACGGAAGACATCCAAATCTCTTTACCAGAACATACCCAAGTCAGAAAACAGAAGCAGCTATAGCCACGGCTGGAGAACTCAAGAAAATACATAAAAAACTCCGAGAAGCACTCGAAAACGCTCAGCGACAGAGCATTTCATATGTCAACAAGAAACAAAAAATGGCACCTTAGCTAAAGAAGGGGGATAGAGTATATCTACTCACGAAGAATCTTCGAACAAAGCGACTAAGCAAAGGACTAGATCACACCAAAGTCAGACCATTTTTAATTCTCGATCAGAAAGGACCAGTAACATACACAATCTACCACCAGACGCGAAGATACACCCAAGATTCTACATTAGTCTATTGGAACTAGCAGACCCTAAAATGCCACTACAAAAAACATTTCACTACGAACCCGAAGAAGAAAACGAATTCAAAGTCAAGAAAGTCCTCGCACACCGTGTGATGAACCAAGGAACGGAATACCTAGTTAAATAGTTAGGATACCCCGACAGCGAAAACACATGGGAACCAGAAACAAACCTCACGAACTGCCGCCAGCGACTGGGCCAGTATTATTAAAAACAAACTCGTCAAACCTAGGATCGCCCTCGAGGCAGGAAGGCATAAAGACACTCCAATCCAGCGCAGAGGAACCAGGCATAAGACCTCCCTCTAGTTGCGCCACCTCACAGTTAATGCCCTCCACCGCCTCCAAAGCCTCGATATCGTCCACATATTTTCCCGACTCATCAATCCACTGTTGTTCGCGACGTTTCAACATCTTCCGCTGCTTACGAAGAGCGTCTTTTTTCGCACGAGCAGCCATTAAGGATTGTAACGCCGCAGCCTCAGCTGCATCCGCGTCAGCCTCTTGTTGGTCAAGGCGCGCTAATTCCCTATCCAACTTTTCGAAGTTCGGAACCGGAACCTCCACCGGAACACACGACTTCACCCTATTACGATAACAATTTCTACACTCTTTTCGCAACGACGACATCTGGCACTCCAGACCTTTCTTCGCGCAATATTGACAGGACACCATTGCAAGATCACTAGTACGGTTAATTCGATCACCTAGAGCGTGACGATGGGCGGTACTTCTGGACACCATGACAAGTTAGCTTATGAGGACATGAAGCCAGGAAGGGGGAGATAGTGTTACGAACCTAGGAAAGGGACACTGCGCAAGATATGTGAAGAAGGAAGGATGAAGCCCATGTTACGACCTCTTTCAAAGGACTACCACCAATAACGCACCAGTAACCCCACGTCCCACAGGCTTGGCGGAACGCCACCGTAGGACATGTCACGTGTGTCCCACGCATCCCATACAATCCCACAAAGTACCACGCGTAGGACAACATAGGACAACATAGGACAACATAGGACATAGGACATTCACTTAGTATATAGCATAGGCAATGTAGCCCTTATAGCTTATTGTGTTCAACTTAAGTTACGAGTACAAGTACAATACAAGAGTTACTTGCAGAGACGCTGTTCATACCACCCTGTTGCTTCATCCGCGAAAACCAACCTCAAGAGTCTGACACCAGAAGTCTTATATTACTTCCACTCAGATCCTACTCTTAACAGCGGCTTACTAGTAATTATAGAAATAGCTCTAGCGCCTATAGAGCTTAGTACTCTACCTAATAAAGTTATCAACTTAATTTATGCTAATAGGGTTACTGCTTTACTTTTCTAATAGTTTATTAGCTATTACTTAAACTTTAGCTTTTATAGAGGTAAATTCATACGTAGACACTTTAAAAATACGTCTAATAATAGCCTTCTCTTCTAACTTATTTAGGCGCTTTAAATTTAGTTTATAGTTGCGTTAAAGGCGCTCTCTAGCCTATTAATTAGATATTGTACTTTAAGGCACGTTATAGATATAGGTAGCGCGTCTTTAGCTTTAAACACGTTATAATTAGATATAAAAAAAATAAGGTTAACTAAAGATCTAATTTAGAATAAGTTAATTAATAGTTGTGTTATTAAGAGATAACGCGTTGTAGTATTAACGTTGACGCGCTAGTGGGGAGTGACTAACTCGCTTATGAACCACATTATAACTAATAAACGAACTAAAAGGTTTTCTAAGCTATTTAGCCTAAAAAGCTGAATTTAGGCTTAATAGCAAAGAAGGAATAATAAGATACTAATAGGTAGGTTCCTTTGTTTTTCTTTGTTTTTAAGAGGTGAAAGAGATTTAAATTCTTGCCTTCCCTATATTTCTATATATATATTTATATATAGTTACTTACTAAGTAAAAAGTAGGTCTACTATACTAAACTACTAGATCTTAGCTTTTTCAATTACTACTTAACTAATCCATAGCTATTTTATTAGCTAAGATATATTACATTAAAATTTAGCGTTTTTTCTACTACGTTTTTTTACTATCCCCCCTCTATACTATAGCAATATCATTCTTTTAAGAAGTATACTCATATATTATAAACGTGTAGTTTTCTAAGCATAACCTAAATTAGGGAATAGTTATTGAATAGTACATAATACATTCATATTTACAAACAGTATGTGAGCCTAAGAGTACTATAGGTACTAACATATCTACTCGTCAACAAATAGATCTATAAGTATTAAGACTGTCTTCGATTATATTACATTCCAGGATACATAATACACTATATTTACACAACTGCTTACACTTAACACTAAGACTACGGTAGTTTATCCTAACACCTTGCGACAACGTAAACAGAACCGTGTTTGGAGACACAGCAAACTACGTATATTAGATAGGTGTTTAGCTTCAGAAGTGCCAAACGCGCTAGGTTTGATGCCTTACAACACGAGATTGTGTACCATTTCTGCCGGAGCTATTTCAAGATGCAGGCCTAAATCAGACGCAGTTCTAGTGATCACGTGATTGCGGCAAATTAAGAAGAAACTTGGTCTTTAAAATGATAAGCATAAATCATTAGAATATGTTGAATATTCTGACTACGAACTTGACTTCCTAGTTGAATAATTTTTGAGACAGGCGTGATTCTCACTCAACACGTGTTTACCTCGATCACTTCGCCTCCACACCATCCTCGTCAGCGTCACGCTTATTGTTCACTGGCCATGAAGTGCCTGCGCCATAGAGTTCACGCTTATTGTTCACTGGCCATGAAGTGCCTGCGCCGTAGAGTTCACGCTTTTCTGGGTTGAACTGCTGAGCTTTGGACACAAGTCAGAGTCACTTTGTCACAGGAAAGAGGACGAATTAGTACGTACCATCTCCTGATAATGGCGCTGCGGAGGCCAGAAACGCCATTGCGCCAACAATGCAGGTAACCAATTTCATTTTGAATAGGTTGCGATCAATGTCTGAGGGGTAAGTAACGATGGTTTTTAGTCTAAAGGCTGAGGCTTCACTTACGAATTCCACCCCACTATATATACACCCAACGGCAATGAAATGTTTGAAACTCGAGGCATCGACTTCGTCCGGCGATATCACCCAAGGTTAGATATTATGTTAAGTAAATAAGCTTTAGCTATAGAATTAACCAAAGTTTTACGAAAGTTTATAGAATCGCCACCGTATAATTCGTAAGAAAGTGGGGAAGTCTAGGGAAATTGGGGTAGAATCTTGAGGGATTAATCTCTTCTAATATTACTTAAGGCCTGTCTGGTTTCCCCAACAGCGACAACAACAGCGATAGCTATCGTGCCGGCAGAAAATTTAGCGTGGGTTTAGCGCGGTGAATTGTGGGGTCGACAACAGCTGTTGCAAAGCTTGGGGCTGTCTAGTTTCGATAAATTATATCGTCTGTAAAATATATAGAAATTTGTAAGCAAATCAAAAAGGGTTTAGCTGATATATAACCAAAGTTTTCTGCAACAGCGCTTATTATGTATCATTCACATGTCGGATACCCCGAAAATCTCACAGCTATCCCAACAGTCGCCGCCGCTGCTGCCAAGCTCACAGCCTCCACCTATACGCGCACGGCGTACTCGAGTGTCATGGAATCTCCCCATGCTAAGCGCGTTTCTAGATACAATGATAGAGTCGCACCTAGGGCTGTCAAATGGCGTCAAGCCAGAGGTGTTGCAAAGGGTACTCACGGCGGTGAGTACCCATACCAAACAGGCCATCACTATCGACAGTATTAAAAACAAGTACGACGCTTTGAAACGTGACTATAGGCTGTGGCAGAAGTTTCAAAATCGATCAGGATGCACTTACAACCCAAGAAACGGAGCGCCGCTCGAGCCAGTAGAAGCAGTTGACCAATGGTTTGATGCTAATCCTGACTTCCAAAGGCTGCGCAATAACAAGATCCCCTTCCCAGAAAAGCAAGCATATCTTTATGCGAACATGTTTGCAACAGGCGATAACGTGGAGCTGCCGCCGGTGGAAGCCTCAACAGGAAGTGATGACTGCCACATGGTTAGTAGCTCTTTATTAGCAGCTACGGAAGCGATAACCTCACATCTAAAACGGCGTCACGAAGCCAATGGATCCCCATCGCAGAAGAGAGTCAAAACTTCAAAACCTATCATAACAATCAGCGATGAGATGTCCACGTTAAACAGCTATATCAGCTGGGCGGTGGCGGAGATCGAGAGGGATTATTAGATAGAGGCGATCCAGATGTTCAAAGCTGAGTTTGGGTTGCTTATATTTAGGTATCGCGACGTAGTGACGAGCCTATTCAAGAGTGAGTTTGAAGCCAAACAATATGTAACTTTTGATACGTATAGCGATTGCCGCAAGTATGGCTTTTGATGAGTATCTGTGGGAGGATATTGACCTTGCGATCGCGGATTGCGAGGCTGAATAGCGGCAATTTTCACCACCTTTGACAGCTGAAAATCTCGAAAAAAGTGGTAGAAACAATACGCAAGATGACGTTGATGAGATAAGTTGGAATAATGCGATGGTTTCAGGCGGCGTAGATGAGTCGCAGTTGTTGGTTATAGAGAGTAGCTTTGATAGTAGCATTGGTGGTGAGAATATATAAAGTGAACCCGCTGCCGCGCTAGGCTAGGCTAGGAAAATTGTATAGAATTTTAGCGTTGGTGTTGAGTTTCCTAAGTGGGGCGTGGTGATAAGTAGCGATATCAAGCTGCGCGCCTGAAAGATTCAGTCCAGCTATCCAGATATCTCCCATATAAATTCTATAGGGCATATCTGGGTGAAACAGTATTTACAGACTGTTACAGTCAGGCGCGCTGCTATAGGCAGCGTAGGCGGCCTGTGCACGCGCTAAAACAGGGGTCTAGGAACATCAACACCATACTTTCGAATATAGAAATACACCAAACTTCTGCCAATTTTTCTGCCAAACCTTCGCAAATTCTACAACACCAAAGCTGCAATCGCGTTCTAATACTCCTCCCACATGCTTCTTGTCATCTCTTTTCTTTCTACGTTCATTGTGCGATTGTTAGGCTCAATAATTCGGCGATTTTAGCGGGGATTAGCATCATCATAGTCATCGCGATCGATGTCTCCATCCTCCGAACAATGTACGTCCTCCTCTACCGCATAAGATTTGTTCATCCACTTCTGGATAACAGCTAACGCGTATACTAGTTGAGCTTGTTTCTTCACGCTGAACTCATGAGTCCGATCAAATACTCGCCATCGCCGTTTGAAGACACCAAAGGTTCGCTCCACCACATTCCGCAGCGATGCCTGCCGGAAGTTGAACAGCTCCTCTGGTGTTGTTGGCTTTCTGCCAGCCGCTCTTATCTCACAGAGATGATATATTACGCTCTTATACGGCACTAGAACTTGTTGGCTGTTTGAGTAGCCAGCATCCCCAAGATAGTATTTGCCTGTCGGCACAGTGAAGCCTTTTGTATACGCGGCGTTGAGTACTCGGACGTTGTGGGCACTGCCGTCCCGGCCAGCCAGCAATTAAGTAAAGTTCATCTTGAAGTCAACCACCGCTAATACGTTTTGAGTGATACGGCTTTTGTGATCTCGATATCGGACGATGTCCTCCTCTGGCGCATGCATTGGGATATGAGTCCCATCTACTGCCCCAATCGCATCTGCAAACCACGGAAACCGGCGCGGGTCGTTGCGGATCTCAACCGGGATCTCGTCTGTGGGTGGAGGTTTGATGACAGTTAGGTATGGCTTCAGCAGAGCTTCGAGAACTTCATCAACTGCGCGGCCAATGGTCTCCAGCGATCGACCTGTACGTGCACGGAGGTTGCGGAAGGAGCAGCCATGACCGCAAAGGTGAGTAAATATCAGCAGCTTCTCCGCACACCGAGCCAACCAACGCGGCCCCTCCAGCTCACCAGCATCCTCCGCGCGAGTGCCTGTAGGCTCATAATAGTCATCAATGTAACGCTGCACAAGCTCTGTGACGCCCGCGATCGCAGCGATGAGCGGGATCAAAATTTGGCGCTGGTGTTGAGTTACCATGATGGAGATATTGGGTGTGAGATGTGCGATATGAGATGTGAGTACAACCCCACTTATAATGCAACTTGGCTAGATTGGGTATAGAAAATACAGATGATTAACATGCCGCTAGGTCACGGGTTTATGGATAAAATACCAACAGGATTTTACGGAGCTCAGAGCTGCGACAGGATTTTGATACTCTAACAGCGCTACTACTACTAACAGCTATAATAATTTGGGCGGCGGTGAGATGAAATTCACCGGGGTTAAACTTAAAACTCCCACCAACAAGATTTATCGAGAGGAAACCAGACACTCACACTAAAATCCAATCGCTATCGTCTGGGATTGTCTATACTTGTCTTAGCGCTCAAACAGCTATCGCTGTTGCTATTGCTGTAGGCGAAACTAGACAGACCCTTAGCCAAAGTTAGATTATATTGTCACTAAATAAGCTTTACTTAAAGAATTGACTTGAGTTATACTAAGTTTTATAGAAATATAACCTTTAAGTCTATAAAAAAGGTTATAAGTATAGTATATAGTTATAGCCTTTATTGTATTGATTCAGAGATTTTTTATTGGTATTTGTATTAAATTTTACGAGCTAATAATAAGCGTAAGAAGCCTATTTTGAATACTAGCTACAATAAAACGTAATTACCACCCTTAATAATATTATATATAAATAAATTAATACAAATCTTTCAATATACTTATAACGTGGTTCATAAGCGAGTCAGCCACCCAAGCGAGTCGGCCACTTTGTACTGGCGCGTCGACGTTAACACTATAACGCGTTATGTCTCAACGACACAATTATTTGTTAATCTATTCTAAATCTAATCTTTGACTTGCTTTTTTTGACGTCTAATCGCAACGTGTTTAAAGCTAAAGACGTGCTGCTTCTATCTATAATATGCCTTGAACTACTCTCTAAGACCGACGCGCTAGAAAGCGCTTTCAACGCGACTGCGAACCAAATTCAAAGCGCCTAAATAAGCTAGAAGAGGAGGCTATTATTAGGCGTATTCTTAAAGAGTCTACGCGAGGATTTGCCACTATAAAGGCTAAGGTTCAAGCAATAGCTAATAAACTATTAGAGGAGCGTGGTGGCAACCCTGTTGGCAAGAACTAGGTTAACAACTTTGTTAAGCGGACTCCTGAGCTCCGTACGCGCTAGAGCCGTCCCTATAATCACCAGCAAGCCGCCTGCGAGGATCTAGTGGCTATCCAGCGCTGGTTCGACTTAGTCCAGGCGACAAGGCAGAAGTGGGGTATTGTGGACGATGATATCTACAACTTTAACGAAACTAGCTTTATAATAGGCAAGATTTTATTATAGTTAGTTATTACAGGCTTAAAAGAATATAGGAAAAAGAAGCAGGTATAGCTAGGCAACCGTAAGTAGGTTACTATAATCTAAGGCGTGGGCGCGTCGGGTCGCTGAATACCACCCTTCGTTGTCTTTGCAGGCAAGGTGCTTATCAACGTCTAGTTTAAGGATTTGCTTGCTAACTAGGTTCTTAAAGTCAGTCTTAATAGCTGGACGAATAATCAGCTTGGTCTTGCCTAGTTAGAGCACTTTGATACCCATACAAAGAGGCATACTGTAGGTGGGTATCAACTGCTTATTATTGACGGCCATAAGAGCCACTGCTCCATCGATTTTCAAGATCTTTGCAAGGAGAAGAATATTATTCTTCTCTACATGCCTCCACACTCGTCTCACCTGTTGCAGCCCCTTAACGTCGCCTGCTTCTCGCCGTT